CCCCCCCCCCCCAAAAAAAAAAAAAAAAAACCCACCCCTCTGCATCACTCTCATCTGTCTCCTCACTGTGTTGTTCATACCTCTCAAGTTATTTCTCTGGATCTGTCCTTTACTCTTTATCAAACCTCCTTTTTGGTTCTCCCTGTTTCTCACTTTCAATTTTCTCATCTTATTTCTTTTCTCTTTCTCCCGCACTGATGTTTCCAAGCTTAGTCAGAGCTCTGAGAAACCTAATCGGCTATTTAACTTCCTATTCTAATGCCAGCTGATCATCTTGACTGCTCCCATATCTAATATTAACACTAAAATACAAGGACACTGACTAAACCAAACTGTCAAGGCTCAGAAACTCAGCAAGCCCTAAAAATACAGTCCACTCCTCTTCAATAGAATCTGCTCAGGACTGCTTTAAAAGCGTTCTGGGGTTTATCATGCAGATGAACAGATTCATTAGGGAAACAACATTACAGCTGAAATTGGACTGGTGAGTCACACCCAGCTCTAAATGTATGTAATTGCAGATTATTGTATAAATCCTGCAGTCAGTCAGGAGTGGACTGTACTCCTGCTGCTGGTGCTCTCAGTGCCTTGCTCGAGTGCCAGTAGTACTAATGCCTACTAGTTTTATTGAGTGCTGTTTTTTTCGCACTATATTTCTAACTCTCTCTCTCCTTCTTTCCTGTTACCTGTCCTTGGCTCCCGTCACCCCGCGGCCCCCCCGTCCCTTCTGTCTTTCTCAATGTGTCTCACCCCTGTTTCCCTCTCTCCTTCATCCTCCGTGCCTCCTCCCCTTCCTCTCTTGTGTCCTTGTCTCTTTCTATCTCTATACAGGACTCCAAACGTTTCCTCCAATGGCAACCCTGGCTATGAGAGCTTACCCTTGACTGACAGGCAGTCCCCACCCCCCTCTGTGAGTTCCTCTGTACTTGTGACGCCATCGCAATCTCTGCCATTTTATCGTTGCTGTTCGTGCACACGCTCGCTTAAATAATCAGCATCAAACGGTTTAACATGGTGACCTCGAAGGACCCCGGGTGCTGGCCTTTTGCTCTTTTTGATGCTTCAAAACCTGCAGAAACAAGAACGAGATATTACACATTTACCCTGTTCCTGATTTTATTGTACATAACTCTTTGTTACTAACATACATTTGGGAGCTCTTCATGTTTTATTATCGCTATCTGGCCATTTAACAGAGCCCCTAACCTTGACCATAACAATTTAAATGAACATAATCAACATTCAGTGTGAAATTGGCAGCATTCAATCGCATCTGTGAAAAAAAAAAGGTCCCCTCACTAGCTTTTTATGGCGCTTTCAGTCGCATTTCACAGTCTTCCTCAGCTGCCACATATTTATCGCATTACCAAACTCTGTATTGTGATGACAATTTAGCTATCTCCATGACAAATAAGCAAACTACACGTGTTGACGAAGACCATGAGATGCAGCTGAAATCTGGAAAAAGCTAGTTAGTGGACGTTGAGTTCATTTTTTTGGCATTACAGTCTTCTTGACCGACTGTAAACAGTTTCTGAGGAGGTAATGAAGTGAAGTAGTAATATTTACAGCTTTACTTCTCCTCTTGAGTTTTATTTGAAATAGTTGAAATTCTGCGTAAACATATTAAAGCTTGTTGGTCAGATAGTGAGCTAAACATGCGCTGTCTTCTACTCTTGAGTTGAGCTGGTGTGAATAACACATGTTGTTCTCCTCTCTTTTATTTCCTCTCAATACTCCCTTGGACCATCTCAACCTCTCTCCCGTTCTGGACGTACAGTACTCTCCCAGCATGCTGACTGGTTACGGGGGAAGTCAATCACACCCCAACCCCGCCCATTCGAGGAACCTGTATTCACGTTGATTATTATTTTTTTGTTAGGAAATGTATAGAAAAAAAATGTTTAGTTTTCATATGAATGGACACTTTACCGAAATGAAAAAGAAATCTAATCTAAATAAAATGAATGCTAGGTGTGAATTCAAAGTGCGTAACATCAGTACCACTGAATATTATTATTGTTAGAAGCACTTAAAAGAAACGGGTCTCAATGGACTGTTGATATAACTGACAATGATAATGCTGGTAGGATGGTTGTGCAAATATGAACCAAGTCCACTTGGTCTAAATTGTTTCCCCTCGTCTGTCCAAACTCTGTGTAAACTGTGAACAGTGGTCAGGCAAGTCAGAATGGTATTGACGTTACTACGTTGTAGTTTTATATTCTTAAATGTATCAGTACCACCGATTTATTTTTAAGTTTTTATATAAATATTGTTGTAGAAAAACACTGGCACGTAGCAACAAGACACATTTTTTTTCTGTGAATGGTTAATGCATTTCCTTCACTTGGTATCTTGTTTTTTTTTTATTGTTACTTTTTTTTATAGGTGGCAATTCTGTATTTTCCTTGTATGACCATATGGTATTCTGTATATCTCACTGTCTATAATATCTGAATAATCATGTGCTCTTTAAAAAAATACTCGAGGGCTACCAAGACCCTGTTTTGATGATTGAACGGAGAACTACAACTGCCACTCGAGTCTTAAGTGGAGAACTACAAATCCCATGCAATGACAGCAGGTACATAGCAATATGATTCTTGCTACTGGTGCTGCAGTAGCCCTACCGTAACTAGCAATAATAACGATGTATAGCATTGGGTTTCTGAGATCTCTCCAAGATGTTTTGTGTATATATGGTCTGGTATGTTGGAGATTTCATTGAATCCCCCCCGTCCTTGCCAACTGACCTTGTTAACCCTTGAATTGAGTTTGTATGGTTATCAATGCTCCTTTTGAATGGCATCCTTTTACACTCAAGAGTCTAATATAAATAAAAATAACTTCAATAACCTTCACCTGGTCTTCATTGTGTCTACGAGGAAATGCAATGTAGGTAACAAACAAAAAGCTTTACAAGGGATTCATACTCAAAACAAGAGGTCAAAGTTTAATATAAATAAGTTTCACTATAACGAACCTCTGAGCTTAGGTTTATGTGTGAGTTAGTCACTAGTGTGTACCAGAGACCGTGCTCCTATTATTCTGGATATGCATAGATCAACAGGAGAGACAAAATACAAACACAAAGGTGACATACAATCACAGAACCTGTGTTTTTGCATGTTAGTTATTTAAAACAAATTAAAAAAAACTTTCATTTTAGATGTAAAACAAAACATCTTCTTTCATTCATAATAAAACTGTCAAACTCATCCTGGAGAGACTTGAGACCTGGATGAAGTGGATAAGGCATCTTAATCAAAGTCCTGTCTGCTTTCAATGTGTCAAAGCATCATTAGTGTGTGGATTCAGCTGCATTATCTCACATCAATGACATAACTAAGGGGGCTCACCATGTTCATTGTGGTGGATCAGAGACCTCAAAGCACAAAACACACTTTAAATCTCTGCTAATTGTTTTTTTCTTTTTCTTACACTAAAGCTAAATGAGGAAAACAAAGGCAGCCAGGAAGACAACAAAACACATTTTAAAATCTAAAAACCATGTTACGCTATGAAAAATGTTTAGAGCGTAGTGCTTAACGGATGAAAACACGCAAAGACACTGGCGGTCCTTCAATGCCTCACCAGGTGATGCCTTCACAGTACCTGTGTCTGTGAGCGAGCACACACGAAGACGAACAGTGCTAATAAATCTAACTGCAGTGCATAGGAGGTTTACCATAATGGTCGTGGATAGAGATAGTGCTGCTTGATAACTGATACATTTTGAGATGACCATCGAGCAAAAAACGACTTGATTGCAACAGTCTAGGACAGCTAAACCATTTTGATCTTGGTTATGTTTTGGTACTCAAAGTAGAACAGGTGTCCTTATTGCAGATGGCTTTTCATGCGCAAACACTGCAATCTCTCTACCACGAAACAGTAAAAGTTCAGTCATAAGTCACAACTCGAGTATCAAACAAGCCCACATTTGCTTCAAACTTTGTTAGCTTAGATACACCTTCCCCGTGTTCAAAACAACGGTAGTAAGAGAAGGCCAATGCATATACTGTACATGGGTCACATCAGAGCAAAAGCTTTTACAGCTGTTACAATCAAAACAGTTCTTCATCTCAGGAGTAAACACCGGTCTCTGCTTCTCTTTGGAATTTCCTGTGTGTCGATATCAAATTGATTTTAGTGCATTCCCTGAAGAGTTTTCTGTAATTATTATTTTTTTTTTTAAAGTCTGTCATCATCCCAGAGGATTTGTTTCCTCATACTATGTGAAGGTATGTCCCGTCACCAGAGCATCACTTATTGGGGTTGTCAGAGTTCAGCCACGAGCCGTCCTCCTCCACCTCCCGCCGTACGACCAGGAGCATCTCTGCCACGTCCTGAGAAAGCTGTTCGCTGAGAAATGTGCTGAAAGAGAAGCAGAGACGACAAAGCAGAATAACATGAACACAGACAGAGGGCAGATTAGTGCTCTCACACAAACAAACGGTGAGGTAAGCCACATGTGACCCCTCATAATGGATGACTCACTCGCTGAGACAGAAATCAAGCAGCACACCAAAGCCAAGTTTGGATCTCACTCAAGACACGCATGTCTGCTCTGAAGAGACGTTTTAAAGATGTGAAAGCACATTCTTACCGTAGTTCTGCTTCTCCCCCGATACAGACGGGACTCTTCAGTTTGGAGTCCAGGTTGTAGTACTGTCCATTTACTTGCCGAACCGCGAGCCAGTGTCGCCTTCGGAGTGGGAGGGACACGATCCCCAGAGATACCCGGGATGGGACGTTAAGAATAAAACCCTGGACCTTTGGCATGCAAAGGCACTCAATCGTCCTGGATTTTTTGAAAAAAAGGGAAAAATCAGCTTTTAATGTTTAAACTCCAAACAATGAGTTACGGTATCTTTAGTCATATGGCTTCCATGGAAATAGGAGGAATGCATAACCAACTGAAAACAAGCCCAGAACATGCAAAGTACATTACAAAGTAATGTGTGTTTAGCCTTTCAGGTTTCAATACGCTCAGTGTGTTTCACTCACCTGCGTTTGTCCCACCACACGGCAGCCAGTTCCCGACTCTGCAGGGCCGCCATGATGACGTTGACGTCATAGTTTCCTGTACCCAACACTGAGCGGTGAGGGTTCACCACACACTGTGGAGCCAGCCTGCAGAGAGAGCGCAGCAGAGCAAATGAGCATTTAAAAAAAAAGAGAAATCCAACATTTATTTAATGCAGCTCTGTTTTAAATTGAGCCTCTTCTTGCCAGGTCTGTTTGGCGTGTGGACAGCTCTGAGGTTTTGTTTTCTATCGTTCCTGTATCGCCACACTCTGGACTTAACTCTCAAGCTCAACATCCATAGGATACATCTATGTCTTTGTCGTCATTGCGATTAATATCATTTGTTTCTAACAACCTGGACAAAGTTTCTGTGAGTCGATGAAATCACAGGGTTGCCTGCAGGAAATTCTTCAGCCACGGTCACAAGCTACCCAGACCATGTCTCATGTCGTTTCAGTCAATTAAGTTAGTGAATGCAACAGCTTTTGCTGTGTGAATCACCACTGCTGTTCTTCCCTGAAGGTTCACGTTATATGTGAGAAATCCAGAAGTCAGCGATTGGTTCATTGTCAGTTGACCCACTCCAACAACCTGAACATTTAGCCAAATAGTGTTCCCTTTGCAAACCTTTGGAGGGAATATAAATGTATTTCTCTTCACTTGTACTGGTGCAGCAGGTTAGATGTTAAAGGTTTGTTTTTTGTAACACAGACATCTATGAGTCTACCTGGGATGATACAATGCTTGTCTGGGACAAAACCAGGACAGTACCTCTCTACTCTGCTCTTCCTCTCTTGTGACTCTGGAAATGTTGCACCTAAACGTTGGTTTCACCTCTAGCTACAACCAGCTGCTGCATAACAGTTATGAAATAACGTTTTGACAGGGCGGCTATGTAACTAAGTTGTGGAGTAACATATAGAGGGCTGAGATCACAAAGGGGCAATGTGTGTCTTACTTTGAATGTGCTTTTTTTGGGTTTATACAAAGTAGCTAGGCTAGCTATGCACCGACACGTGCTGGAAACGTTACTCTACCGTTTGCAGATGTCATCGGCTGTCTCCTTGGTGAACACCCGCTCCTGGAGCACGTTGTTGAGTGCATGGATCGCGCACAGCTCCAGTCGTTGCTTCTCATGAAACACGTCTCCTTCGCTCATGCTAAAAGCTCTCTACACACGAGCACAGCGATAAACACGAGCTTTAATACAGTTAACGCTAGCAGCAGTTTAAGCTAACAATAACAATAACTTAAAAGTCGTTAGCTTACCGTTAACGGCTGCTAAACCGTCACAGCCTCGTGGTTATACTCGGTGTTTGGCTGCTGGCAGCGTTTCTAAAAAAAAAACAACAACGGCAAGGTGAACTATTATTAATCGACAATGGCTCCACGAAGCCACTGACCTGCTGATAAAAACGCTTCCCCGTTACAAAAAGATACTAGAGTCTGACAGCTACATCCAGAAACCGGAAGCAGATCCGTTGTTGTTGTTGTGATGTTGTTGTTGTGGGATTGTCACACCCATTTACAGTATTAACAGCAGCGAGCAAGTTCGTCACTTTAACCCGGTTTGATTATGTTTCACTCATTTATATAAAATAAACGATGATGGAAAGTCCTCCGCTTTGCTCCGCACACACGTTTTCAGACCTCGCGACTGTGGACGTTGTGTTGAAGCGCCCTCTAGTGGTGAGCTGTGGTATTGATCATGGTAAAGTTATACCTACTGGGAATAAAAACACTGATGCAAAAATTATGGAGCTTTGGGTTTTTGAATAATGGAATATAATCTTTGATCTTGGAAATCTCACACAGTTTAGGCTACATAAAGTGTTTATGAGTTGTTGTTTTTTAAAATCCCCACCCCACAGGTATAATTTAAACAAATGACATAATTAGCAATGTGAATTAATTTGCAGGAGAAAAGAAAAACACACACAAAAGAGCTTATCCATTACTTTTACTTTAATGATATAATAAAAGTAATGTAATGAATGCACTTATTCTGATCTTATCTTATTCTACTGATTATTTCTGCATTAAGCCTTTGGTGGACAGAGAGAGAGAGCGAGAGAGAGAATGAGTATGGCATACTATATCTTATATTCTCATTCCCTCTCACCAAGTCAAATTCCTTTTATGTGTAACGTACTTGGCAATAAATGGTTCTGATTCTGATTCTTGATATTTTATAGTCTTGATATGAAATGTATTATATTTAGGTCTAGACATTAGTAGTAGAACACATACATCTATATATATGAACAACATCTAACTAAATTATGGCAATGTATTGCTGCTTCTGTGAGAACAAGGCAGAGATTTGTTGTTACAAACTGGTTTATAGATATTATTGGCACCTTTGGTACCTTTGGTAAGGGAATTGCACCCTCAGTGAAGGTTTTTTTTCTTCAAATTCCTGCAATATTACAATGTCTTTTTGGTTGTTTGTTTTGATAAATTGTGTTGGTTTTGTTGGTTGTAGATCGTCCAACAAACTTAATTCCTGCATCTTGCACAACATCCATGACCATAATGAAAATATGTGTGATTTGATGTACTCCATGTAATTTAAGCTGAACTGAATTTAACCAAATCAGACTTAGATGGTGGCCAGTTCATACCATAGGTATGTCAATTAGATATGTGTATTTTTACCATTTACATTGTACTGTCCTAAGTTTTTATGGTATATGATGTTCAACAACAATCCAATGGGTTTACTGGCACTTTAAAACAAGCAAACATTTTGTTATATGCTGATTTGTTTTCTTGTTATGCATTATTTTTTGTTTCAGAGAGGCTGCAATTTTGAATTTAGTTTTGGATAACTTTCACCCTACTCATCAAATACCAGTATTCTTCTATTATTGTTCTCCCACACACGCCTCTGTATGGATGTGAAATGCAGTGTATTTACTTGTGCATTTCATTTGAATTCCACATAACATTACTTATCTTTTCAGCACTGTTTCAGGGGTGTGGGACATTTTCAAACAGACCTATAGCAGACTAGCATCAGTCATGTTTTTGATTCTGTGTGGCTGATAGGGCTTCCAGCTGTGACGCAGCGACATTAGTGTATCGTGATTGGCTGACGGTTTGTGACGTTTAACGTCATTAAGCAGCCCATTGGTCACTGGTAGTAGGTTAAACTGAGGATCGTATTTTTGTTCCTGTGTCAACCAAAAGAAGAAAAGAAGAGCAGTTAGTGAGACCCAGTTAAGTTCCCATCTTAAGACCGTTTTTTTTTTTTAAAGATTACGGAAAGGTCTCCCCACACCTGACACCAGCCAGACATTCACCACCTTAGCAGGGCCCCGTTTGAAGATGGTAAGTCGGGTGACCGAGGATGTTGCTAGCGGCTAACGGGAGTAGCTGCTAGCTTGATCCGATGTTTAGCCGTCGAGCTTTTAATTTGGGTTGTGACTACTTGCTGGAGTGTCCGACGTTAATTAACCGTGATCTACATTTTGTGTAATGTAACATATACATGTATGTTATTAAATACTGTACCACACGTGTTACAGTCATCGAGCAGCTTTAACATGAGCGTCATCTTGAGGCTAGGCTAGTATAGGCTAACGTTAATGAAACACTAACGTAACGTTAAAGTTACCTAGACTGGAGCGTCCTTTATCGGACGGCACAATCACCTCTCCATCGTTGGGACGTTGCCCGGCTTTCGTGATTGTGTGAATGCCAGATTAGTTAATTTAGTTTTTTAAAACTTTTTTTAACGTTTCTCATTCGTAAGAGTTGAAATGATTGTGAATATGCTAACGTTACACGATGAAGAGCAGCCAGACATTAGTTGATGGTGGATTTGTCTTTTACCAGTTGTGGTTTAGTGATCTTTATGTTATTATTATAACCCAGTAAATAGAACAATGTGTGTGGATGTCATTAACAACGTAACATTAGTTTGCTTTAGTGTATTGTGTAAAGAATTGATTACAATTAAATCCCAGAAAACTGCAATGTATAGCTTCAGCCTTAAAGGCTTAGCTATGCAAGGACTACCCTGTATGTACTAATATTAGTTTTCAAAGCTGATATCTGTATTCATTATTCTCACTCACTCATTATCTTTGTACAGCTGCAAAACAGGTTGCATATTGTTAGGAAATAAGACCATAATACTTTCTAGCATGGCATGTATTTGTGGCAGCATTGCATTGGTGATGAGCTCCAGGAAAAAAGATCACTACAGCATTTAAATAACGCTGCATCTTCTGTCCACCGAGGTGAATTCCCTCTGCATCAGTTAGTACGGTAATGGTGTCAGGAAAGCAGCTCGACCATTGTCAAAATACCTCTAACTTTTAGGTTTTCTCTTGCAGTAAGTCTGTTTGTACAAATCAGGGTTCAACGTTAATGTCCTTTTTTTGGTGAAGTTGGTCAGAAGACTGCTTGCCTGAAGTAAATTTTTACTTGGTCCACTTTAAATTGTTTTGTTCATTAGCAGGTATCAATTCACATTTGGTCCTGTGCATGTGCGACTCTCAACAGAGATGAGAAGGCTCACTCCTTCCAATATGTTTGTTTATGTGCAAGTGAGTTGCTAGCTTCACCAGCTCGACGTGGCTGTTTACTTGCCTCTGGCAATCGGGTATCCTTGTTGTTGGCTAAACCATCTTTCTCTCTCTCTCTACAGAACTCCAATGTGGAGAATTTGCCTCCTCAGGTTCTTCGCTTGGTCTATAAAGAAGTTTCAGCTTTAGCAGCAGACCCGCCCGAGGGCATCAAGATTTATCCCAGTGACGAAGACATAACTGAGCTACATACAGCCATCGAAGGACCGGGTAAGGATTGCAATATGGTGTCATATCAGACTGGCATTGGCCGTGATAACCTAACAAAAAAAATTACTTTGTGTGCGTTCTCAAAATAAGAAATTGTTGCATGATATAAAGTTTATTCAGCATAGAGATAGATGTAACACTTGTCTCCTCAACTATGTTTAGGTTATTTTTTACATAATTTACTCATTAGGTGAACAACTCCTTAAGACGGGTATTTCTGCGTCAGTTTTACAAAGTAGGAATTGTTTCCTTTCCATGGCTCCATGAAAATGTAAATATTGTAAAGAAGCTTTTTGTCTGAATTTACTAGATGTTGCTAAAAACATGTGATGCACACAACCCACTTAACCCACGCAGTGTGACACGTTGTCCACGCTGTCTTATCACTGTGATCGTATTGCTTCAGACCGTGTTATTGTTAAGTATGCCGGGAAGTGCCAGACCACATTTTGTTAACTCCTCCACAAACTAACTTCTCTGCATGTTTTATTCATTAGACTCTGACATTGGTATAGATATCAGATGTTTGCAAACAAACTGTATCAGGGTTTCCGCAGCTCGTGTGTGTGTGTGTACACGTGTGTGTGTGTACACGTGTGTGTGTGTACACGTATGTGTGTGTACACGTGTGTGTGTGTACACATACGTGTGTGTACACGTATGTGTGTGTACACGTGTGTGTACGTACACATACGTGTACGTACACATACGTGTACATACACACACGTGTACGTACACGTGTATGTACACGTGTATGTGTATGTACACGTGTATGTGTACGTACACGTGTATGTGTACGTACACGTGTATGTGTACGTACACGTACACATACGTGTACGTACACATACGTGTACACACACATACGTGTACACGTGTATGTGTACACGTGTATGTGTACACGTGTGTGTGTGTACACGTGTGTGTGTGTGTGTGTACACGTGTGTGTACACGTGTGTGTGTGTGTGTGTACACGTGTGTGTGTGTGTGTGTGTGTACACGTGTGTGTGTGTGTGTGTATACACGTGTGTGTGTGTGTGTATACACGTG